CCCATGTCCGCTGCATCGGCAGGCGGACTCTCAACCACTGCGCCACCAGGGAAGCCCCCTTATAAGTTATTATAAAGTGAGTATAATTCCCTGTGCTATACAGTAAATCCTTTTTGGTTATCTCTTTTATATATAGTAGTGTGTGTATGTTAATTCCAAACTCCTAACTTATCCCTCCCTCCCCCGCTTTCCCCTTTGGTAACTGTAAGTGGTTTTCTACGTCTGTGGGTCTATTTCTGTTTTGTATGTAATTTCATTTGTATCATTTTTTTTGAGATTCCACATATAAATGATATCATATGATATTTGTCTTTCTCTGTCTGACTTCACTTAGTATGATAAAGCGTAGGTCCATCCGTGTTGCTGCAAATGGTATTATTCATTTTTTATGGCTGAGTAGTATTCCATTGTGTGTGTGTGTGTGTGTGTGTGTGTGTGTGTATCACATCTTCTTTATCCATTCATCTCTTGGTGAACATTTAGGTTGCTTCCATGTCTTGGCTATTGTAAGCAGTGCTGCTGTAAACATAGGGGTGCATGTATCTTTTTGAATTATGGTTTTCTCTGGATATATTCCCAGGAGTGGGCTTGCAGGATCATATGGTAACACTATTTTTAGTTTTTAAGGAAATTCCATACTGTTCTCCATAGTGGCTGTACCAGTTTACTTTGCCACCAACAGTGTGAGAGGGTTCCTTTTTCTCCACACCCTCTCTAGCACTTACTATTTGTAGACTTTCTGATGATGGACATTCTGACTGGTGTGAGGTGATACCTCATGGTAGTTTTGATTTCCATTTCTCTATAATTAGCAATGTTGAGCATCTTTTCATGTGCCTTGTGGCCATCTGTATGTCTTCTTTAGAGAAATGTCTAGATCTTCTGCCCATTTTTGATTGGGTTGTTTGTTATTTTACTATTGAGTTGTGTGAGCTGTTTGTATATTTTGGAGGTTAAACCCTTGTCAGTGGCATCATTTGGAAATATTTTCTCCCATTCTATAGGTTGTCTTTTCGT